AGGGGGGCTAGGTCTAGGGGGGGCTAGGTCTAGGGGGGGCTAGGTCTAGGGGGGGCTAGGTCTAGAGGAGGGGCTAGGTCTAGAGGGGGCTAGGTCTAGAGGGGGGCTAGGTCTAGAGGGGGGCTAGGTCTAGAGGGGGGCTAGGTCTAGAGGGGGGTTAGGTCTAGAGGGGGGCTAGATCTAGAGGGGGGCTAGCTCTAGAGGGGGGCTAGGTCTAGAGGGGGGCTAGGTCTAGAGGAGGGCTTGGTCTAGAGGGGGGCTAGGTCTAGGGGGGCCTGGTCTATGGGGGTAGGTCTAAGGGGAGGGGCTACGTATAGAGGAGGGGCTAGGTCTATAGGGGGGTTAGGTCTAGAGGGGGGCTAGATCTAGAGGAGGGCTAGGTCTAGAGGGGGACTAGGTCTAGGGGGGGCTAGGTCTAGAGGGGGGCTAGGTCTAGAGGGGGCTAGGTTTAGATGGAGTGGCAGCATTATCACTTAGATAAAATTCATTGGTGATTGGTAGGATTTGAACTTGGAACCTCAGGGACTTTACTAGCTAGTTCCCCAAGAACACTTTTTAGTACAACCATTGACTGGGGTTAGTGAAATAGATACCCACCTGAGAATCAGTGTATGCAAGTTTTAAATGTAAAAAAAAACAGTGAAACAACGCGCTTTCAAAGTGTGCTTCTGTCCAAAGTATATTTTGGATAATACGAGTTTATGTATCATATATGATTACATATAGAGTCCCTACTACCAAACATATATAATAACTTAGGCTGATTGGCTAAATCTTTTATGTAAAACTCAACCTACACAAAAAACGTTAAACCAAATGTCGAAAGAATGTCTGGGATTATTATAATGTATTTAATGACAGTATTCTACTTAATCCAGCAATGTAGACCAAAGCGTCGTGCCCTTCTAAAGATAATTGAAACACCATGCAATCTTGTGGGGACCGTAGCGGCGACATGCTTTTTAATTAATAGACCACGACCTAATGAAGATTCTGTCCTTGTCGTAGAGAGATTTATTTGGGAGTGGTTTCTGGATCCACTCTATCGTTAATCAAAGCGAAATAATCAATCATTAATCCACATTAAGTATAATTGTAATTTCATTTCAACAAAAGGAATACAAATATAATCTTGAAGCATAGTCAGAAGGAGGTGAATTTTTATTTTGTATTTTGGACAGGTTCTTGTGTACTGTGATCCAGGGGTTAAACTAAATGATAACGTGTAAAAATTAAGCAATACGTTTTCACATACTCTTGATAAATGCACTATATTAGATCCTATGAATACAAAATGAAAGTTCAAAAACCGATCGAGAATTTGAGTAGTTAGTGTTCTTCTCCTATTTGTAGGTGGTCAGTGTCAGTACCACCCTGAAGAGATGGTCTATTGAATTAGATGTAATCACCAAAAAGATTTTCTGGTTGTTGTTAAATGGGTTTTAACACAAGATACATAAAAAAATAGCTGAAAAAGCACTTTTTGTCCTGCAAAATAACATTTTTCTGTTGAATTATCTAGAAACATTTTAAAAACTGTTAAATATGTGTTAATCAGCATTTTTGATTTTGCATTTTTACACATTAGGTGTGATCAGTAGCAAAGCTGGCTAAGTTGTATAGGTCTACCCAAATACGGGTTTTAATCCTATATTGAGTTAGAATCGTATTTCAGTCAGGTATAGTGTGCGGAGTTTTTTGGCAGACCTTTTGGAAGAGGTCTGCCTATAGTCTGTACGATGGAACATGTCTCTTGGCCCTCCGTATACCTGGAACTGAATTAACTATTCTCCACGAAGAAATACCGCGTTTCTGGAGATAGGTTCCATCATACAGACTACTAGTAGGTAAAATGGTGTATGTCTGGAGTGAAAGTAGACAGTATAGGTGGATTTAATGTAGTAGAATCAGCTGTTCAATTGTTGAGAAATTGCTCTTCAAATCAGGTGTTAAGCTACTTTTGTTGTATAAGTTTCGAAAACAAAATTGCAAAACTCACAACTCAAATCTATAGAGTGTGCAGAGTTACATTTGCACTTGCTTTTCTTTGACACTACAGCTCTGCAGGATGATCCGTTCATTATATTTTCAATTCGCAGTTTTAAATATACAAGTGGTCATAAGTTACACGCAAAGCCAGTTAAGGGAAAGCATGCTGTAAACGAAGTTGACGACTTGTAGCAGGGCAACATCATGATTATGCATCTCTGTTGTTAACCTCAATGAATACACAAGCAGATTTACCTTTACGTTGAGATGTGTAGTGTGCAAAGAACGGGAATATATATACTGTATACAGGGTGTCCCGGAACTCAAAACCAACCCGGTGTAAAATCAATGGTTTTTGAGTTATTTAAGAAACAAAATTTTAAATGGCCGCCATTTTGTTTGATGAATTGGAAAAATCGTCATAATTTTTTGGTAGCTTTGACTAGTTGTCATAAATGTTTGTGCAAAGTTTCAATTTCGTCAGTTTAACCATTCTTTAGAAAAAAATGAATAACTGAAAAAAAACAAAATGGCGGCTGTGTGAGTAACTAAGGACTTCCGGACGATTTAAATATGATATTTAGGTATCTTTCTTACCCAGGAGCAATGCCCTAAAATATTGGTAAAGAGTTCCGGGACACCCTGTATATGTCAACTGCTGTTACCCACGGGCTTCACCCCGTTTGACCCCGTGTATTTATAATTTGTAGGATGTCAATTATCTTTTTGTCAATTTTGTTTAAAATTAATATCTTTAAACTGAAATTTGTATTTAACAAAATAAATTCGCTGCCAAACGTGATTATCAAAATATTATCACATATCCCACCAATTCTTAGGTTGTAACGGTTTTCAAAGAAACGGGAAACATGTATTTTTAAATGTATAACTGATATCCCATTTCAGCCTGAATTCAAAATTAAAACTCATTTTTGGTCGTGGTGTAAAATTAAAGTAGAGTTCTACCGATGGGTCAACACTAACACGTTTCTTAGTACTTTGCTTGGCTTAACGCCAGTAATACTTTTATGTGTTTAATCTTTGACTATTAATACAACAACTAGACATTCTATCCCCATGTTAAAGTTGTAGTTAGGTTTTTAATAAAATTTGTCTTAGTTGATGTGAGCCACCTACAGATTGCGCTGATCTAAATTACTGATTTCTGCCGATTACATGATGGTTTTTACCAAGTCAAACTGATGGAATGACTTATTATGAGCTATAGCAACTGTTGTGACCCAGCAACTATGTCAGTAACGAAAAATAAGGTACAAAGTAGAGTTTTAGACACTAGTGCAGTCTGTGACTGGCTCACACAACTGTTTAATGAAAGATCCGACCCACTATATTGTTGTTGCTATGTCACCAACATATTGTTAGAAAGTGTCTACAATACTCAAATGACAAATGACAATATGTCTCGAATGACTGGACCCGACCGTTTGCACTCAGCACAACAAAATGTGTTCGGGACACAGCAGGGTGCTAGCAATGAACAGACTATATATAGTTTGTGTATTCATTGGTATTTGCATTGCATTAGTTACTTTACGGTATTATCAGTCTATTTTCGCCAAGCAAATTAAATATATTAATAATTCAGACTTATGATAGTTAATTTCTACAACGATTTCCAAGTTTCCGTAGTGTAGCGGTTATCACGTGTGCTTCACACGCACAAGGTCCCCGGTTCGATCCCGGGCGGAAACACTATCTTTTTGCCTTTCATAAAACATTTTTTCACGTTTAAAAATGAAATAAACATTTGCAAGACCATGTAAACAGAGTATTAATTTGCTTTTTGAATCCCTTGTTGCAATTATTTTTATTTTTAAAGACTATTTTTATAGGTTATCCGCATGTCGCAGGTGCCATAATGCCTGTTTCTTATAGCCTAAAAGATTACCAAAATAGGTTTAGTTTCGTATTAACTAACGTGTTCTCTATACGGTCATTTTCTAATTTATGATAATAACTCATTTCAATGGTCACTGGTTAGTGCCAACTCGAGCAAAATTGATCCGATTTTGATGAAATTTGGTACAAACGTCTAAACTTGCGTTTATTCGAACGAATTCGTGAACCAGCATGATCGTACGATGGGAAATGTGGTTTATGGGGGCTTTTATGGGGTAAAAAGTTGGTTTTCCCATTTTTACTCTAAAAGAATAAAATCTCACAATTTCTTTCAGACCATTTTGTAAAGCTTAAAAAGAGATATTTGGTATATTGAAACATTGTTATATGCCTAACGGTTTTTGAGATACTAAAAAAAAAACATTAAATTCAAAATTCCAATGTTAAACTTAAGGAAATACTGGTGTATTTTGCTTGTTTATGGATATTTATTCTAATTTGGCAATTTTGTTAATTTACATTGAGCTATCAAGATAAAAAAAAAAAAAACATCCTCAATATCATCGCTGTATCAGCAAACCTAGGTACTCATTAAGATAAGTGGTTTTTTTATAGGAAATGCATCTGACAATTTTCAGGGAATATTTTAGTCAGGGAAATTCACTTTGTCTGCAGGTTTGCTGTGGCGGGGGTATTTTATGTCTACAAAAGCACTATTTAGGTAGCTAAAGAAGCAAGAGGCATATATGCTTCGAAATACTGGGAAATATTACAAAATAGATTGGGACGTTTTAGATATCGTACGATGAGTTTTGTAATTTGTTACTGACCTTGATATTTGCTTTACAATTTGTATTGTAGACATTTTCTAGGTCTTTAGAAAATGCTCTTAATTTACGCACAATGATCCATGGCTGGGTTCATTTTCTAAACCCTTAGAAATTATACTTTTTATTGGATCGAAACGACAAAGTTCTGTTTAGTACTGTGTACTGTATAAGACTTTATGACAATTCAATGGTAAAAAAATTAACTAGAAAATCCAGCTAATGGTAAAAGGGAATTATCAGACCAATAAATACAGTTAAACAGTCTAATAAAAAATGTAATACTTTACAACTTTTGAATTTTACACAAATTTCAATGAAAGTCTAACAGATTTTCCAGTCTTTCTTCTCTGCACCACAACCTGAAGAATCACCTTTCTCTGGAAACATCCCTTTCCCCTCTTCATTCATTGTTTCCCCCGCTCTTTCTGAACACCCTCCTTTGGCAGCCTCTCCAGGGGATGTTTCTGTACCTCCCCCACCCCTTGGTGGGACCCAGGCCTCCACCTTAGGTCTTGTGGTGGTGTAGGGGACATACTCTAGGGGGGTACCACTCATGTTCTCCTCACGGGGTAGCATCCAGTGGTACTGGGGTCGAAACGGTTCTTGGTCCGGGGGAAGATCCGTACGATGGTGCAGCCAGCCGAACCATTCCGGGGGTACCTGAAAGGTTTAATTCATCTGAGGTTCGAGAAACATAATAAAGTATGTGGTAGATTATTTTGTATAAGCTGTATAAAGGAATCTTTATCCTTGTCCCCCATGTACCTGGGGACTAGTCAATGGCTTAATATCTAATAAGGAGCTTAATAGCTTGTGTAGAGTTCTTTCTATGTTTTTATAACATTGCACAAATAAAACCAATCGCTTATTGGTGGAATTTTAACCCTACACTGGTTTAGGCTAATTTTAAGTTAGAACCGGTAGAGGTCCTGCTCTGTAAGCAGTATACCACGGTAATCTAAGGGATCCAACGTGTTATGCTGCACTTTACTTTACGTTCTACACCCATTCGAATGAAAATATCGATCGATATATCGATTATTCGATAAGTTATATCGTTTGGTTAGATAGGTAAGGCCTAACCTAACTAGACAAACATATCGAATGAAACAATCGAATAATCGACATTTTCATTCGAATAAGTGTAGGACGTAAAGTAAAGTGCAGCCACGTGTTAATATAAACATATACGGTATCTAGTATGCCCACCCCAAAGAAACTATAGTCCGATAAACTCCACGGAAAAGACTTTTCACTAAAATCCACGCAATCATTTGGATTTTCCTAGGTGCGAAAGTGGAGCGCATAGAGCCTATAGCCCAGTAGGCTCTCTTCTTTGTCATGCATAATTTAATGGTAATGTTTTCCTAGAAAAGGAGTGGGCACACTTACTAAAAGTTACGTTTTCGACAAGCGGAAAATCACTTCTCCGCGCTCCGCTTCCGGGCCTAAAAACATCTACTTTACCTGGCTAGCGTCGTACTGCAACCCCACATGGTCGGCGTATTCAACCCATCTGTTGCGGAGGAAGAAGTAGTCGTTGTTCTGTATTAATTCTACTTTCGGTAAAAAAAACTACACGAAACGTCCATTTTTACATATTTTATACAATAACTTGTTTATTTATAGAGATACGACCTCGGACTCAATAACCATTATTGTAGTCCACATTATTAGAATTACAACGAGGTTTTAACCGATGATCTATCTTTTACCGTTTTCGAAATATCAGCGTTTTAAGCGCAAACCGCCATGTTTGCCCCCTCCCCCCACCTTATCCCCTTTTGAAATAGGTGACATATGCAATTTTGATCACCACAGTCCATATTACAATAATCAGCAATAACATTGCGTACTACTTTCATGCATGCTCAAACCCCCTCAGCTCCAGGACTATAGTATGCACATTAAATTAAAGGTATTTATTAGTAAAAAACAATGCCGCAAACCCGAGCTCAAACGGACAACTGAGTCAAAAATGGCAGCGTAGTGAATAATTGATAAAATAGCAACAATAATTGAGGTAGATTTTTAAATATTTGAAGAGATAACAATGAATGAATGAATGAATGAGGTGCTCCGTTATCTTATCGGTTTAAAGGTCCCTTATCGCCAAGCGCCATACATTCGCGACATAGTCTTCGGGTATTTAAATTTATCTCTATCATGGAATGTCATTGATTTTAATTTAGACTTTTAAAAATCATAACTTCAGAACGAAACATGCTATTGGAGTCGGGTTTTCACAGTTGTGATCAGCTAAGTAAAACCTTCAAACTAAAGTGGGTTTTTAAATAGTAAAATAATCCAGATATTTTAAAAATTCACAAAAATACAGATTTGTCTGGTTTTAATCCGTATAAAAGCTAATTTGAATTTTAGCCTGTGTTAATATAAAACATATGCGCAATATAGTATGCCTAAACCGAAGAAACTATGGTCTGACAAACTCCACGGAAAAGACTTTTCACTAAAATCCACACAATCATTTGGATTTTCCTAGGTGCGAAAGTGGAGCGCATATAGCTGAGAGCCGTTTACGCTATCCTCTTGTCTTACATAATTTAATGGTAATGTTTTCCTAGAAGAGGAGCGGGCGCACTTCCTAGAAGTTACGCCTCTCGACAAGCGGAAAATCACTTCTCCGCGCTCCGCTTCCACCCCTAACCCCAAATGTACCTGGCTAGCGTCGTACTGCAGCCCCACATGGTCGGCGTATTCAACCCATCTGTTGCGGAGGAAGAAGTAGTCGTTGTTCTGGTAGTACCTGTTGCCGTAACGGTCCGTGCCGACCAGAGTGCCGTGCTTGAGGGTATCGCGGATGAAACTGGACTTCAGGCAACCCCAGAGGCCACCGTGGTGGCGGAGAGTCTTGGCGATGCTGCTGAAGAGGGACATAGACAATGAGGACGTAGAGAAGGTTTGGATGTGAATTAGGAAAGGGGGTTGAATTGAGGTAAAACTGTGGTGTAAAAAAGTTGTCTAGGACTTGATGTTTATTTATACTTTGTGCAGAATTGTCAGCTGTTTCCAGATTTTTCCAGACAGGAAAGAAGTAGGATTTTTAATTCCTTATTAGTTTACAATATTTAATGATCGTTCATACCCTTACAGTTTTGTTTGTTTTGTGCAAGATTGTGGCTAAATAGTGAAAGTAGAATTAAGTTTTATCATCACATTGTAAAATGAAAAGCTAGTTTGGATATGGGTTAAATGTGTGAAGTTTGGAGTGCTAGTTTGCAGACCAATTGTTTTTATTTTATTCAAGAATTTATCTTACGATTATTTCCTGCAATGTTAGAGCTTCGCTAGAAAGAAAAATTTATTTTAGTGGTATTATAAATTTAAACGAGTTAAATAATAGCAAGAAACGAAAGGTAAACTACAAATCTCCATCCACATCGCACTGCACTACCATCGGTCGGATGGACTGATTAAAAGTTTTGTTCAGCTAAACTATAAGAATGAAAATTTATAAGGGTGTATGCATTATTTAATCTATGTTGAATCATTACGTGGTGTCTACATTTTTGAGGTGATTGGTGCTTAGAAGCTACTAATTAACTAATTAACATGATACAAATTCGTTTGGAAGAGTTAGATTAATTACTAGGCGTGTTACATTTTTTATTTAAATCGTGTTAACGGAGCTCAACTTTTACATAATTTTAATAAAGTTGAGTGTATATTTTGTCAGACTTAAGAACTTCCAAAAACAACAATAAAACGATAAATGACTATTACTAACATAGTAGTGGTTTAAGTAGATTACACTAAATAACGTTGTTTACAATTTAAAATAGTTCAAAGCTCACACATCTTGACTCTTTTGTGATGCAACACCGTGTGGAAAGAAAGACACTTGGATTGAGAGCTCTTGATTTCCGATACAATCTTGAGCCTTGTCTGGAGGGAGGCCAATAGATAATCACTCCCGCCAAAATCATGTTTATCTCCCGCCATAAACACTTCTTTATACAGATATGTATAAAGAAACTTCTTTATACACCGTTTTGATAGACGGGAGTACTTGAGAGCTGTTGATTTCCGATACAATCTTAAGCCTTGTCTGGAGAGAGGCCAATATACAATCACTCCTGCTATAATGTTGTTTTATCTCCCGCCATAAACACATCTGATAGAACTTTTATCGTCACTTGCTTACCAGTAAAATTGGAGATATTTTATGGCGTTTGATATCCATATAGGTGTATTTTTTCACTTTAAGATCCATATACAACGAAGGTGATAGGACACAACAACGTAACGTCGTAGGAATGAAATAAACTGTAGGGTCCAAGAAAATCAATCGTTTTTACTGGATGTTGTATATTAGTTTCAATATTTTCATACAGAGCAACCCTTTATATTGCAAACCTCCATAACTTGCACATATACCTTATATGAGTTTATGCGAAATACACAAGTCGTTCTTCAAAGGATTTTGATGAAAATGCACCATAATGTTTATTTTAACTACTACAGTACTTTATTCCTTTACTCCTTACAGATACATAAGAGAATAAGAACGAATTTTGTTATAGACGAATCTTACGGTTTTTAACCACAGTGTATCAAATTATTGTCTTTTTCAGCGAGTTACTGTCTGTACACTAAAAAACTACAAATCAATAATTTACATTAATGAGTTTATATTTCATTTTTACCCTACAACCTATTTATATTGACAGAATAAGTAAAACTAACTATTAAAATCATTCAATATAACAGCTATAACTTTATTTAGGAGAAACAAAGTGAAAATGTATCTCCAAATTCTTAAACAAAATATTTTATCATTTTCACACAATTGCAGTTATATTGTAACCCAAGTTTTGAATCTGTTTCATTTCAAGTCGAGCAGGCAAGTTTGATAACATGTAACTTTCCTCGAAAGTTTTACGCAGGTCACTTCTCTCGTCCTATCGTCAAGATAATGTCAGTTTCTTTTGCCTTGAACCCCAGCAACAAATGGAGCTTGGCGTAACGAGCTGTCGTACTTATCAGCACAATCAGCTTTTCGCCTCTGTGTTTTTAGTTTAATCCATTACATTTCTCAAAGAGTTCCAGTAAGTATTTCCTTCGCGTATTTACTTCTGTGCTAAGTTTAGGTTTATCTCTTCAACTTATTACGAAATTTTGTTATAGTGTGAATTGTGTTTATTTTGGTCCACTTGAGTCAAATTTTACTTTTAAATACCCCAAGAGTTTATAAATATTAATTTACTGTATCTTATTTAGAAACCATCAATCAATTTAGGCCTACTCAAATTTTCTTAAATATATTCACGTATAGAAACTACGGTGGTCACAGTTTATAAACAATGAATTTTATTATATCACATTATATGACAATGTTTAGCAACAGTCTATATATAACATTATGTTTGACATTATAACCATCAAGAGTTGAATAGTGTCAGAGAATGAATATTGATCGACTGCTGCTGATTAGTTCATCAGATCAAAATACAACTGATGGAGAATTTACAAATCACATAAATCATTGACTGGACAGAAAATGACCAAATAATGCAGTGATTGTAGTTTAATAATTCCATCATATCACATTACAACTGTTGGGCAAACTATAACTCACATCCATCAGTGACTGGAGAGAGAATGTCTGAATAATGCAGTGATTGTAGCTGAATATTTCCATCACAGTACAACTGTCGAACGAGTCATAACTCACATCCATCAGTGACTGAGGAGAGAATGGCTGAATAATGCAGTTATTTTAGCTGAATATTTCCATCAGATCACAGTACAACTGTTGAAAGAGTCATAACTCACATCCATCAGTGACTGAGGAGAGAATTGCTGAATAATGCAGTGATTGTAGCTGAATAATTCCATCATATCACAGTACAAACGTTGAACGAGTCATAACTCACATCCATCAGACTCTGGGGAGAGAATGACTGAATAATGCAGTGATTGTAGCTGAATATTTCCATCAGATCACAGTACAACTGTTGGATAAGCTATAACTCACATCCATCAGTGACTGAGGAGAGAATGACTGAATAATGCAATTATTGTAGCTGAATATATCCATCAGATCACAGTTCAACTGTTGAACAAGTCATAACTCACATCCATCAGTGACTGGGGAGAGAATGACTGAATAATGCAGTGATTGTAGCTGAATATTTCCATCAGATCACAGTACAACTGTTGAACGAGTCATAACTTACATCGATCAGTGACTGGGGAGAGAATGACTGAATAATGCAGTGATTGTAGCTGAATATTTCCATCAGATCACAGTACAACTGTTGGATAAGTCATAACTCACATCCATCAGTGACTGGGGAGAGAATGACTGAATAATGCAGTGATTGTAGCTGAATATTTCCATCAAGTCACAGTACAACTGTTGAACGAGTTATAACTCACATCCATCAGTGACTGGGGAGAGGAAAACTGTATAATGCAGAGATTGTAGCTGAATATTTCCATCAAACCACAGTACAACTGTTGGACAAGTTATAACTCACATCCATCAGTGACTGGGGAGAGAATGACTGAATAATGCATTGATTGTAGCTGAATATTTCCATCAGATCACAGTATAACTGTTGGACAAGTCATAAACTCACATCCATCAGTGACTGGGGAGAGAATGACTGAATATTGTATTGATTGGAGCTGAATATGTTCCTTTATAACACAATGCAACTGTTTGATAAGTTATAACTTACATCCATCAGTGACTGGGGAGAGAATGACTGAATAAAACATTGATTGTAGCTGAATAATTCCATCACATTACAGTACAGCTGTTGAACGAGTCATAACTCAATTCCATCAGTGACTGTGGAGAGAATGACTGAATAATGCAGTGATTGTAGCTGAATAATTCATCAGATCAGTACAACTGTTGAATGAGTCATAACTCACATCCATCATTGACTGGGGAGAGAATGACTGAATAATGCAGTGATTGTAGCTGAATAACTCATCAGATCAGTACAACTGTTGAATGAGTCATAACTCACATCCATCATTGACTGGGGAGAGAATGACTAAATAATGCAGTGATTGTAGCTGAATATTTCCATCAGATCACAGTACAACTGTTGGACGAGTCATAACTCACATCCATCAGTGACTTGGGAGAGAATGGCTGAATAATGCATTGATTGTAGCTGAATATTTCCATCAAATCACAGTACAACTGTTGAACGAGTCATAACTCACATCCATCAGTGAGTGACGAGAGAATGGCTGAATAATGCATTGATTGTAGCTGAATATTTCCATCAAATCACAGTACAACTGTTGGACAAGCTATAACTCACAGTCATCGGTGAATGGGACGATGGTGCGTGAATAATGTAGTCAATTCTGGTGAATAGTTTCACTTCACGACCACCAAGTATCCTGATGACTGACCATTCAGCATTGAATGATCTCTTGGTTGCTGAATATCTTTTGGTATCATAATGGTTTCAATCTTTAGACGTGTGTTAGTGATGTAACTTAATTAATTAAATCAGTGGTCATATTTGTTGGTTTTTATCACGTAGGGATAAAACTGTTTTATAGTATTCATTAGGTATAAAGCCTTACTTTACTTTACTGATTCATCGTTCGATTTTACTTCTCAGATTCTACCCGTACTTAAGTAAAATGTACTTAAACGTGCATCCAATGACGTAAGGATTTACTTGTTGTACGCTCAGTAAAGTTTAAATAAAATCAAGAATCATTTTATCACTAATTTCTTAGAATGTATAGATAGGAATAAAATGTAATCACCTTTTCAAGTTTAATCTTTTTGGACCGTTCCCACATAAAAAAACTAAAAGAAGGGCAACCACATTGAAACACAAAATTCAAGAAGTGTTACGCCATATTTTTAGCCGCAGAAGTGTATTAACTATTTCAAAAATACAATATTTGTGCCAAGA